AGGGTTTGTCTCTCTCTCTCTCTTATACTCTATTGTAGATCAAGCAGATCGAAACGTATTTTCAGTCATTCATTTGAAATTGTGCAAGTGATCGTCAAGATTTTCAATGCATCGAACAATACCACTTACTGCTTAAACAATACTACTTAAATTTTCAATACTTACATCGAATTTTCAACAATGCTACTTACATTTTGAACAGTTGCTGTTGATCTGAGATGTGATCGCTGAAATTGATTTCAGCGTTCAAGCGTTTCACGGTGATATTTTAATGGAACGATCGGAATTTTGGGAGATGTACGATTCGTCGTTATACGAATGGTTACGTGTCAAGTACGGATGTAGAAATACAATTCCTGATTTATACGAAAAAACTTGCTCATCAGCAAGATACTGAATTGATTTCGCTGGAATAACTTTGTGTTCGTAATTCTCAAGTGAAATTCGTACTGATTTCAATGATCTTCGTCGCATCGTTATTGTGAAATTTCTATTCATTATTACTTAAAACATTGTTAAATTTCATTCAAAATGCTCTATTGTGAAGTTTTATCATATCATATCGGTGTACATATACATATGTTTTGTGATGTTATTTTATGACACCCTGTAGGGTGATAATCTAGTGCAATATCGGAATGTTGCAATTCTTAAGATGTCGCGACTAGCGCAAAAAGTCAGCATACAATGATGATAGTATTTAAAGAAGATGGTACTTAAATCAAATAGAAATGATTGAGCAGTGGGCCAATAGTGTACTGGTGTAACGCTGGGCTTTGAGGATCTGATCTGTTCAGAAGGCGTGAGTTTGATTCAGAACGCGTCGGTCCAAAATCTTTGACAAAGTTAGATCTCATTCAAGAGATAATCAAGAGGGCTTAGTTGTGAAATAAGATGGAGTTCACTGAAACCGTCTGAATCGTCAACGACATCGTTCAAGTAGAGTTCACGAGATATCTGGCAGTGACTATGAAACTGACGCCAGTCGATGTTATAAGATGAAAAATGGAACATTTCATAAGTGATCCTTCCAAAAAATATGATTATTTGTTTGAAAAAATGAATTTGTTTAGCTGGAAAATGGATTATTCAGGAAATTTTCTTGCGATCTATTGGTACATACAAAATTATTCCATGTGAATTATTACTTCTAGTGTTATATGTGTTAAATATGCTCATGCAAAATAAGTTCATTGCACAAT